CCCCAAAACCCCAAAACCCCAAAACCCCAAAACCCCGCAAATCATAGAAAAAATTGAAAGCAAATAGTGGTTTTAGGCCAGTCTTCCCGATGCATTATGAGCAATCAGTGAGTCCAGAGTCTTGCTTGTTGTCTTCGAACGGTGTTTGCTCCTCTCTTGTCATGAACAGATGGTCAATGTTGTCACTATCATTCTCGTCATGTTGTCAACGATCAGGCTTGAATTTAAAAAGTTGTTCTTCAGACTCGCTGATAACCTTCTTCTCTTCCTGAAGACTACTCACAAGGTTATCCTTTCCAAAAATGCCAAACAAACTCTTGAAGGTGAGCTTGGGCTTGGATTTAGACTTAGGTTTATCATTCTCCTTCTTCTTGGCAAGCTCTTTAACGCCTTGGCCCATTCTCTCGAAAATATTGATTGTCTTTCCCCAAGCTTGCTTGGTAAATTGACCAGTTTTGTCTAGAACTTCCTTGCCAGATTGCTCAGATTTCTCCCAAGCCAGCTTAGTCTTGTCTCTGAGGCCTGAAGTTTTATCCCAGAATTTACTGGTGTGCTCTTGGAAGATATCCCCAGTGGTATCAAATATTTCCTTCACGTTGTCATCGAGAGCATCGAAAAATCCTTTTCTAAAGGATTTTATCAACTGGTTTTTCGTCTGAGCCAAATATCTCAATATCATGATCATTGCCATCCCTATGTGGGTAATCTAAGTCTAGCAGCTCAGCTGACTCTGTTGGGCTAGCTCCCTCTCTCACGCTTGGAGGTGGTTCAGAGAAGTAGCCTGAACTAACGAAGGAATCTAACCGTTTGCTATAAAACTCGGTAGCTTTGAGATTAAATACATTATGGCTAAACTTATCCTTCCCGAGTGAGGTCAAATAAGGGGCAAGGAATTCATCAAATCTGGAATTTCCTCCGTAACTGAGGCTCTGAATATCTTTGCTAGTCCATCCGTCCTGGGTGGATAAGGGTTTTAGGTTCATATTAGGCTGGCTTTCCATCTCTTTTGCTCACTCCGAGCACACGAATATTCCATGCTGTGTACATGCAAAAGAAGGAAATTGCGAACTCTTGCAACAGAAACAATTAGAATTTGTTCCAAAAGACAGTAAAGAAGAGAATATTGGAGGAAATTGAGGCTTTGCTCTTCCTAGCATGCTTTGCTCCATTTTCAATAAACTTTAATATAAACGGGGTTTTGGGGTTTTGGGGTTTTGGGGTTTTGGGGTTTTGGGGTTTTGGGG